AATCATTAGTGTATATATAAACAAGAAGCTTGTCGAAAACTTACGGTGAATTGGTAACATTTGTTGTTGATCATGTGCATGCATGAACATGGCTGATGTCCTATTGCATTTGGAAGAAGAACCACAGTCCCCGCTGCTGTCTTGAGATGCTATTTGGTGATTCTGAAATTTTTTTCCGATTATACAAGAAAACTTTAATCATCATATAGAATTTAGCTTCATAAACATCTTGGAGTACTAATTAGAATTACATTTCTTTTTATTCTTCATGAAATTGTGCATTAATGACACTCTATAACAAAAAAAATTCTGTACATTACCATCTTAAATTGAGATTCATTGATTATCTCTAGTAAGTAAATTTAATATCACTCAAGTAAATTCTATAAAAGTAAAGATAACTTATCAAATAACATGAATTAACAATTTTTAAGACATCATCCACTGTATGAAATTTAGCTGCAAAAATTTATCAAACATCAAGTAACATATCTGGAAACTAACTGCCAAGCTCTTCACTAGCGATGCATGTAGTTACATGTCCAAACCCTAGATGACTGTGCACTTGCATTAATTTGAAAATGTAGCTCAAGACTTTTTTTAAAAATATAAATTTCACCTATATAATACAATCTATTCAATACCTGACAAAAGCTAATCGATGCATAACAAAGAACAACAATCAGTAGTCTTACATGTTGAATGTTATACTTACTGTAGGAATCATGTCCTCGCTATATCCACCAGTCTGCACAAAGTTGGAAAAAATGAAAATTTAATTAGCATCTTAAGCCCAAATTACACTGATCAAGAACTAAATATCCGTTGCAGACATCAAAATGTACATACTGCGATGACATTCACAAGGGAAGTTTTCCCAGCGTTCTGCAATCCTATTAAAGATAGCTCCATTTCCTGCTTGAAAAAAAGGCTGCAAACAAAAATAAAAAAAATTAAGGTAAATAATACTATCTATTCTATCTCAATCGACTCCTACAGCTCCAAAGAAATAAAATTCCAATCATGACCATCGTCCCTTTTCACCGTTACTAACCCTAGAATTCAAAATTTTGCCTGAACAAACGAAACGCAACAAAACAGATTCAAACCCTAAAAATCCGATGATTGGAATCTAAGAACAAACGAATCCACGAGTAATGCGGGAGGGGTCGAGGATCTAGGATGTGGAATATTCCATCTAGAATATTCTACTAGTGTAATCATGTTTTCTATGTAATATAGCCAATGTAGGTGCTTCTCATATTATACATGGGTTAGAAATCCAAGGAAACAAATGGCCCCTAATTTGTCTTTGAAAAGTTCTGCATATTATAAGAAAGAGATGGTTTGAAGTGTTCACGTACTCCGGAACTTTTGTCATCATCTTTTCTTACGAAAAGGCTAAATTATTTAACCTTGGTGCACCCAACATATTCTTATTATGACATTATCCATTATAACAAGGGGGTCAATAAATTGATTAACATCTTATTGTATTCTAGTTGTTGGGAATTTACGTCAATACCCCAAGCACAACAGAAACACAGTATAGAAAAAAGTCACAAAAATTTAATGAGGTTCAGCAACTGCCTACGTCCTCAGGAGCCACACAATTAATTTCTTATTAAACAGTAAGAAATTACAATACAAGAGCAGATCTCAAGCTTGAGATCTCTCAATAAATACAAATCAACACTGTAGCTACAGTGTTGATTCCTCCTCAATAAATTCCTCCTCAATAAATTTTCTTTCTCTTAATTCCCTTCCCCAATCACGTGAGCATAGGAGAAAGAAAGAAAGAGAGAGAGAGAGAGAGAGAGAGAGATCGCGAGAAAGAAGAGAGAGAGAGATAGCCGTCGCTAGCAAAAACACGAGAGAGGAGAAGGGGAGCAACATTATCTCGGGCTCTAGGGTTTCCCTTTTATAGGAAAACCTTAGCGACAGGCTGGCGACAGGCTGTCGCCGAAGCTCGCCTGCAGCGCTTGAGCTCGAGCTCGCTTGAAGTTTCTCGAGACTCGCCTACATATCGCTCACTCGCCTGAAGTTGTTCGAGCTCGCCTATAGGGTACGAGTTTAGCCATGAGCTCGCCTGCTACTGAACCTCGCCCACTCAGGAGCTCGCCTGACCCTAGCTCAAGCTCGCCGTCGACCTCGCTAGCCAGCCTCTAGCCCATCTAGATCTCGAGCTCGCCAGAAAGGAGCTCGACCTCGCTTGCGGAGGTTTGATTCTTCACCCAAATCCAACAATCTCCCACTTGGAGAATAAATTGCCGACAATAGGCTATCTCAACAAGCATCATCTCCCGTGTGTCTCCGCCCTCATCACCTATGCATGAAGGCCAACTGAAGTTGCGCGCAACTCCAGTTTCTGAATGGTCACTACCTTTGTTAACATATCTGCTGGATTCTTACTTCTCGGAATCTTTTCCAGTTTCAACACGTCATCTTCCAACAGGGATCTGATGAAATGGTACCGAAGCATAATATGCTTCGCTCTAGAATGAAATACGGAATTCTTAGCCAAGTGGATCGCACTCTGACTATCGCTATGCATGACATTCTTCTCCGGTTTAAATCTCAACTCTGTTAACAAATCCTGAAGTCATATCATCTCTTTATTGGCTTCAGTCACTGTTACATACTCAGCTTTTATAGTGGATAGAGTGATAATCTTCTGTATCTGTGACATCCAACTAACAGATGTAGTTCCGATAGTGAATACATAGCCGGTGGTGCTTCTTCGGTGATCGACTTCACCTTCGAAGTCTGCATCTACGTACCCTTGCACTTCCACCTCTCCTTTACAAAAGTGCAAGCACTTCTGTGTGGTGCCTTATAGATATCTCAGAATCTATTTGACCGCTTTCCAATGAGGTTTTCCTAGATTCGACATAAACTGCCTGACCACTCCTATTGCATGACCAATGTCTGGTCTCGTACAGACCATTGCGTACATCAAACTTCCAATGACTGAGGCGTAAGGAACCTTAGTCATACTCTCTTTCTCTTCTTCTGACTAAGGAGACTAATCATTTGATAAGCAAAAATGGCTAGCCAAGGGCATGCTGACTGGCTTGGCGTCACCCATATTGAATCTCTGCAAAACACGATTGATGTACTCTGTCTGAGACAACTGCAATAACTCTTTCTTCTTGTCTCTTGTGATTTGCATTCTAAGGATCTTCTTTGCTGGACCTAAGTCCTTCATGTCAAATTCATTTGACAACTGCTGCTTCAAACTCATGATATCCTCCATATCTTCACCTGCAACTAACATATCATCAACATACAATAGTAAGATGATATAACTGGACTAATATCTTTTGAAGTAGCAATAGTGGTCGGCGTTGCACTTCTAGAAATCTTCTTTGTGCATGAAGCCGTTAAACTTTCTGTACCACTGTCTTGGGGCTTGTTTCAGGCCATATAAGTTTTTCTTGAGTCTGCACATCAGGTTCTTCTTTTTTTCTTCTGAGAAACCTTCTGGCTGATGCATGTATATCTCCTCTTCTAGATCTCCGTGAAGAAACACTGTCTTCACGCCCAACTGCTCGAGATAAAGATCTCCAATAGCTACAATACTCATCACTGTCCTGATAGTATTTAGCTTCACCACAGGAGCAAAAAAATCAGTGTAGTCAATTCCTTCCTTCTGCTGGAATCCTTTGACAACTAGCCGGGCCTTATATCTTCTGGAGCTATCATGTTCCTCTTTTACCTGGTACACTCATTTTGTTGTGGAGTGCCTTCTTACCCGTGGGCAACTCAGCTAGTTCCCACGTCTGGTTTGAGATGAGAGTCTTCATCTCATCTTTCATGGCAAGCTCCCACTTGCTCGCATATCCACTCTGACAAGCTTCATCATAGCTTTCAGGCTCCCCTCCATCTGTCAACAACAGATAGTTTATATATCTCCTGTTGGGTACAGGAGGCCGATAAGATATTCTCAATATCGGAGCTGGTGCGTTGGGCTCCTGCGCACTGTTCTGTCCAATAGGCTCTTCTGGTTGAGGACCTTCTACATTGGGTTCTTCTGAGAGGTTACTCGTGACATCATCTGCATCTACAAATATTGACTCGCTCTCTGAGTCATCTGTCTTGTGCATGTCCTTGTACATCATATTCTCGTTGAATATCACATCTCTGCTCCTGATCACCTTCTTGTTTTCGTTGTCCCAAATGCAGTAGCCGAACTCATCTTCACCATTGCTGATGAAAGTGCATTTCTTTGACTTGAGATCAAACTTATTCCTGCCTTGATCACTAATATGCATATAATCTACACAACCGAAAATTTTGAGATGTGAGAGTTTTACCTCCTTTCCGCACCATTCCTCTTCTGATATTCTGTGCTCCAATGGAACCGATGGACCTCGGTTGATCAAGTAAGCTGTCGTGTTGACTGCTTCTGTCCAGAACTACTTCGGTAGGTCTGACTATATCCAAATGCTTCTGGCTCTCTCTGTCAACATTCGGTTCATCTGCTCAGCTATACCATTTTGCTGAGGCATGCCGTACACGATTCTCTCTATTCTCATCCCGTGCTCGTAGCAGAAGCTTTTTGAATTGCCAGGTTTTAGCTAAAGGCTTGCCGTAGTAATCCTAAATGCGAACAATATCAAGCCGATGGGCTGTAGACGAGTCCAGCCCGAAACTTCTATTTGGTCCCCGAACTTGACGAATCTTTGAACAAGTCCCACGCACCAATCGAATCGGTACCCGCATTAAAAAAAGCCCCCCCTCAGTATCCTTAACTTTCCTCTATCGTCTCTTCCCCGTTTTTCCCCGATCCGCCCAAACCCTAACCCTAGATCGAGGGGGGAAAAAAGAGAGAAAAGAAAACACGATGGCGACCCGCAAGCTCCTAACTTTATCCCGAATCGCCCCACAGGCCTCCAATACCGTCCTCCTCGATCCTTGTGCGCCACGCGATCGCTTCATCCCTCCGCCGCAGGCCGATATCTCCTCCTTCCCTACCTCCCCTCCGGTGATTGCACTTACATCGCGTCGCGGACCGCCGTCAAATCAAAGCTCCACGCCTCGGCAAAACCCCGACCCCCTTCCTACGCTTCGCCTCCCCTCACCCAACCCTGGCCGACCACTCCTCCATCCTCGCCTTTCCTCAGACCCGCGTCACCACGCTTCCCAACGGCCTCCGCGTCGCCACCGAGTCGAATCTCGCATCCGAGACCGCCACCGTCGGGGTCTGGATCGACGCTGGATCGAGATTTGAGACTGATGAGACCAACGGAACTGCTCACTTCTTGGAGCATATGATATTCAAGGGGACGGAGACCAGGGATGTGAGGAAGTTGGAGGAGGAGATTGAGAACATGGGTGGGCATCTGAACGCTTATACATCGAGGGAGCAGACGACTTACTATGCGAGGGTGATGAAGGGGAATGTGGGTAATGCGGTGGATATATTGGCGGATACACTGCAGAATTCGAAGTTTGATGAGGCTTTGATTAATAGGGAGAGGAATGTCATATTGAGGGAGATGGAAGAGGTATACGAATCATTCGTTTTTTATAAATCTTATTGTTTGATTAGTTCATGAGGACTAGATATTTGCTTTCATCAGATCAAATTAAATTAATATTTTCAAAATTATGGTGCTTTTTGAAATTAGATCTTTTGAATTACTTTTTCGAGGCTGGTGCTTTTCATCTCGCAACTGTGGGTGATTTATGGTAATTAAACCTGGGAAATTGGATTACTTGGCTGCTTGTTCATTTTTATATGTGCTTATTTTTGCTTAAATGGCATATTATTTTGATTTATGTTTTGGAAGTCATATCTAGTTATTTTTCCCTGTTAATTATGGAGGCTGCATGATTATTGAGCAGATTGAACAAACATAAATTGGACTTTTGGAGGGTTTTAAGTGTTTTTGCTGCTTTTGATTGATATTAAATTTTTCATTAATGGGATTCAATTTTGCACGTTTATTTATTTTCATACTTTAAAAATCATAGTGACATATATTACCTTTTGAGAGGTGGAGGAGATATAGCTTACGTCTTAATGTTCTCTGTTTCTTTATTTATATTTCCCTTTTCTTGTTACTTTATACCTGATGAAATTTATCAAAGCGCAATTTAGTTCAAATTCTAGCATTTGGTAGAAATGGCTAATTTCAATTTGTAAAATTAAAATTCTTTGGCGGTTTAGTGGTTCAGGTTGCATCTTAATTAATTTTTTGTGCTAATCTATGTTTTTGAAGTTCACTAGCTTTCACTGTATTGCTTTCCTATCAGCAGTATTGGTTGTTCATTAACTCTTATTGGTAAGGTGAAGAACTCAGAAATTTTCTTTTGGATATACAGACATTAATCACAATCATTTGAGTCATGCTTAAATTTTGTTATTATTATTGAATGTGTGTTATGTTGCTTTCTTATTGATATAACTTTGATGTTTTCGTCATGCAAACATGTCCAGAATTATCTTCGATAGATTTATATCTTTTGTTGCTTCAGTCCTAGGCACTGTTTGGTAACAAGGGATTGTGTCTTATCTAAGAGATTGTGTCCTATTGACTTGGTCAATAAGCTAGTAGAGCTGTTTGGTGACCAAAAATAAGAGGAGATTATTTTGGAGATTATGTCTTTTGCAAGTAGCTTTCGGAAAGCTACCTCAAGTAGCGTTTGTCTTTGGGAAGGAGCTGCCAATTTTTTTTCTTCCGTTTTTGCCCCTAATAATTCTAATTTTATATCAATAATATTGCATGTCCTTTTTAGTCATTTAACAAATTTAAGCTAGTTTTACAGCTATTTTTGCCAAACAGCTCTAGTCAATCAGCTAGCTACACAGCTATCAGCTTTCAGCTATAATTTCACAGCTTTCAGGTAGCTTAACAACTTTCAGCTATAATCCCGCAGCTTTCAGCTAGTTTTGCCAAACAGAGCCCTAGTTTAGTATTTAATATTTGTCCTATTTCATTCCTATGTTTTTGTCTTTGTTTCTAGTTTGTTTTTTTGTTTTTTGAATGTTAACATTGTCATCCATGTTGCGTTCTTTCTTCTGTTCATATTATGCTGTTATATGTTATTTATGGGCAAGCGACGATCACAATTCTTTTTGATGCATTCATATTTTTTTTCTCATGCTTCATTGCGCTTCATATTGTCAAGTGTATTTTGATTTTTCTCCCCTATGTCATGTTATTTAAAATTTTAATTTGTAACAGATTAAAATCATAGTATAGTTCAGGCGCTGATTTGAATTTCTTCTACATTTATAGACTTTCTAGTTACCATGTGAGCCGAATAGGTGCGGTTAATTTCTATTAATCCTTGTTTAGTACTGTGTGCCTTTGCGTGCTTGTTCCATACCCCGTGCCATATTTGTAAGGATGAAGTCCATTTTATCGTGTAAAAAGTATAAATTGGATTAACAAGTGTAATTATATCATTAAATATTTGTAAGTTAATTTTTTATATATCTTGTAGGTTGAGGGACAAACCGAAGAGGTTTTATTTGATCACTTACATGCGACTGCATTCCAGTACACTCCACTCGGAAGAACTATTCTGGGACCTGCTCAGAACATCAAGACAATCACGAGGGATCACATTAAGAACTACATTGCAACACATTACACAGCTCCTAGAATGGTAAATCATGAAATTAGTAATTATGTGGGCACTTGTTGAATAAAAATTAGACTGAACTAATTACTAGTTCTCTTACCCTATTTCAAACATTTGGTCAGCATGGAGTCTTATGTTCTTTTAGGGAAGTTGCTCAATGTCTTCTGAATTATGCTATCAGGTTATTTCGGCTTCAGGTGGAGTTGATCATAATGAACTAGTTGACCATGTGAAGAAGCTATTCTCAAAGCTTCCAGCTGATCCCGCCACTGCTTCTCAATTGGTTGCAAAGGAACCAGCTACTTTTACTGGTTCTGAGGTCTGAATCTCAATCTATGACTATCTTTATTTCTTATCCTTGTATAATTCAAGTATAGTTGACTCCTGCTGGTCACCTTTTCTACTGTGATCAATGAACTTTAGGTCCGGATAATTGATGATGATATTCCACTAGCACAATTTGCAGTAGCTGTTGCAGGGGCACCCTCGACAGATCCAGATTCTATTGCATTGATGGTCATGCAGTCAATGCTGGGATCTTGGAGCAAGAGCACTGCTGGAGGAAAACACATGGGGTTTGTTTCCTACCTATTTAGAGCTTAATTTTAATTGTCTTCACGGCTAAAGGCACTGTTCTTATAGTTCTTACATCTATTTGATTGCTTTCAAAACATTTGAGCAGTTCAGAGCTTGTTCAGAAGGTTGCGATTAATGAAATAGCTGAGAACATGATGGCTTTTAATACCAGCTATAAAGATACTGGCCTTTTTGGCGTTTATGCAGTTGCCAAGGTTTGTATCTTTTCTTATTATTCACACCATAACTTCTGTTTTGTCATATTCAGTTGGAAATTACTTTTTTGATATTTTGTTTTCTTTTATTTTTTTTCAATATTTTATGAGAACTAGTATTTCTGCTCGTGCAATCTCTGCAATACGTTTTGCGTCGTGGGTTTGTTTATCCTTGATGCACTTCTTTCGTTTTGATAGTGGACATCTTATACATTATTTGATTAACATTTCAATATTTTATTTTACATAATTGTGTTGAATTGCAGTAACCTATTCGGGAGATCTATATCATTTGAGAAAACCTATTCAGGAAATAACAATTTTATTACATTTACTCTTCTATATTTTAATAATAATAAATTGATTGATGAATGTAACAACTGCCTATATGTCGACAGATAGTCTAATTAATCAATAATATATATGAAAATATAACATTGAACTGAGATGGGATAGAAATTGTATGTCAAACAATAAAAAAAGATAACATATGCTTCTATTTTACTTTTATGCATATAAGCTTCCGGCAAACTTACATGACAATGTGGGGGCATATGCTCTTCTTTTTGTTGGTTCTATGAGTATGCCATGGGACAACCAAGGGATAAGTCAGTCGATTTGCCCGTTTACACAATAAAGGTTACACTCTGTTCAGCAGCCTTTTCTGGATCACCATCCGACTCAGAACCAACATCAAAGGCAACTTCTTCAACGTTGGTAATTCTTGGTGTTTTTCAAATGCTACTTAAAGATAAAGAATCAGTGAATCAGGGAAATCTAATTGAAATTTTTATGAAAAACTCATGAAAAATACTTTTCATTGAAAAGTAGGTTTTGTAATAAAAAGTACTTTTCATTAAAAAAAGTATTTTATTCCAAAATCTGCTAGGTTTTACCCTATATAACCTTTAAATCTAGGTACTTTTAAAATTACCCTCAAAAGTACTCATCCCTCTAGTTTAGGGAATAAAATTGGAATATTTATTATAAATATTATTTTCTCAGTAAATGATTGAACTTTATTAGGTAAGTTAATTTAACAAAAAATTAATTAATCACAATATTTGGGGGTTAAAAGATGAAACAGGAGAGGAAAAAAGAGGTGTTATTGATATTGTTTTCGCGGGTACTAAGTTTAATTATTTTAAACTAATCTGAAAATAAAAGTGTCTCCACTTTGCTGGAATATTAGGAGTCCTAATTTAGGACTATACTATATGATTCTGATACAAAAATATAAGATTTGAAAATGTTAAATGCTTCTCAGCTTGATTTGAATGAACTGCTAGTGGTCAAGTTTTTTAAGAAGACCTGGTCCAACTTTAGGGGAATAAAGGTCTTATGAAGTGTAATAAATTAGACCATCTATGATGGAAGTGCCGTACAGCTTGTGTGAGCTCATCTATTGTCAGTTTTTTGTTTATTTTCTGTATTATCATAAGCATTCTTCTTAATTCTTATTATGTGGAAGGGGAAGAACACAGATGCAACTATTCAAACTGCAAACTGAACCTTTCTGGATCAAATTATTTTTTCGTACTCTGTTATATTTTAACAGTATTCTGCTGTTTCCTGTCATTTGTTAGCATTCAGCTCTACTATTTCTGCTGGTAGTTCAGTTTACTGATGGTAGTCTTAAATATGCCTCCCAACTTATTGGTTGTCAGATCTTTAGCTTCTTGTCATGTGGTAATGTGAATTGGTTTGTGTTCTTATGGGAGACATGGGTGCCTATTTCTATTTCTTTTGTCACTGACCTGCAATATTATTAATTCCATCGTACCTTTTTTGTGCAGCCGGATTGCTTGGATGATCTGTCCTTCGCAATTATGAATGAAATGAGCAAACTCTGTTATCGAGTTTCAGATGCTGATGTTACTCGTGCCCGGAATCAGGTATCTTCATAACTACTTCCATACTGTTATCTGATACTCCAGTTCTCTGGTCTCATAAGTAGAGTAGACATGTATAACTGGGATTATTATTCTTGATTAGACTGTCACGTGTTCATTCCACTGAAGTATTTTTAATTTATGTTTATCATATTATCAATCAGACAGTCATCTAGTATTTAGTGAAGGTTGAGTCAGATGAAAATGTGTTCTATTTTAAAAATTATTCGTTATTTTGTAAGCTTCAGTCTATATGCTTTAGTAATTTGGATTGCAGATAGATTTTGGCAATTATGGCAGATTGTAAGAAACATTTCTTGCTGACATTTTTTGTTACTTGTGTTATTGCACAATGAAAGGAGGTCAAATGTGTTACCAGTGTTACCAAGGCACTAAGGGTGGAAACGAATCGATTGAATACCATGATGTTTGTATTTGTATCTGTTTAAAATTTTCAAATTTGAATACCACTCTCTGAATTTCTTCAAATTCGAATTCAAATACAAATACTTTTCAAATATTCATGAATATTTATCAAATATTAGAATATATTAGTTGATTAATAATCTATAGTTTATGAATACTAAACTATGTAATTTAAATGATACTTTAATGTGGCTAAAGAACTTTGGTTTAAAAACTGGCAGTGCTCTTTAAGTTTGTTAAATTTAGTATAGACATTAAACTACTAAATGTAAATGAATCAAAAACATAACATTGTGCATGGAATAATATAAATTATAAGGGATAAACTCTATATGAAAATTTGCTAATCAAACAAATTGAATATTCATCTGGTTAAATTCTATTCATTACTGAAATGAATACTAAACACTATTTCATTACTGAAATGAATACTAAACACTATTTGGTTACAGTTAAATGAAGGACAAATTTTTAAAACCACCCTTTTTTTATTTTATTAAGCAAAATCGAACCCTAAGAAAAATAATGAGCAAAACCGACCCTTTTCAGAAGAAAAGGGTCGGTTTTGCTTCCAAAAAATTTTAGCGAATTGCACGGGACTAGTAGTCCCGTGCAGTTCATTTTAATTCGATCCCCCAACTGGCTCCAGGTCAACCCCTCTCTCGTTCTCTCTCCTCCCTTCTCCGAAGAAAACCAGCCCACCTCCTCCTTCTCCTCCCCACGTCCGGCCTCTCCGAGCTCAGCCCCCTCGAGTTCGAGCTCAGTAGCTCCCTCCGCTGACGCTCTCCGATCAGCCCCTCAACCGCCATCACCATCAGCTCCCCGTCACCTCGAGCTCGAGTTCAGCCAGCGCCCCGAGCTCCTCCAGATCCGCCTTGCTGACCCGCACTAGCACGCGACGGCGCTCCTGCAGCACCTCGACTCCATCCTCCCATGTTCTGAGACGCCACCAAAATCAGAGGGAGCTGCGGTAGGGGACGAGATGACAACGTCGGAGGGCGGGGGAGCTGCCGAGCCCAAGCTCGAGGGGGGCTGAGGTTCGGAGAGGCGACAGGGCGCGGCTCGAGGGTAGGATGGGGGGGGAGGGCGCGGTCGTCGGGGGGTCTGAGGAGGAGGGGACAGAGCTCGGGCTTGGGGAGTTCGACGGCGGGCAATCGATGGTTGTGATCGTCGAGGGAAGATCGGCGGTAAGGAGGGGAGAGTTAGGCGCGGAGGGTGAGCGGAGAGGAGCGGCGTCGGGCTTGGGTATGGAGTTGGCGTCCACGCGGAGAGGGAAGCTGGACGTGGGGAGGAGAAGGAGGAGGTGGGCTGGTTTTCTTCGGAGAAGGGAGGAGAGAGAACGAGTGAGGGGTTGAACTGGAGCCAGTTGGGGGATCGTCACGAGAATTAAAATGAACTGCACGGGACTACTAGTCCCGTGCAATTCGCTAAAAATTTTTGGAAGCAAAACCGACCCTTTTCTTCTGAAAAGGGTCGGTTTTGCTCATTATTTTTTTTGGGGGTCGATTTTGCTTAATAAAATAAAAAAAAATGGGTGGTTTTAAAAATTTGTCCTTAAATGAACTACCAAATATGACGAATAGTTAAATGAAGTAATGAACAATTAGCAAACATTCATTAATTGGTTTGTTTCCACCCTTAAAGGTGCCATTGTTTTAGAAAGCGCTAGGTGCCACACCTAGAGTTTAGCACGCAAGCGCCAAGGCAGGCGCTTAAGCAGTTAAGCTGCTGCCCGTAGGTATTTTTAGCATGAAGAGAGGAAAGATTCTTTTTGAAGATTCAGTTCCACCTTATTGTTTGCCTAAGGACTTGGATGGACCTTTGATCCATTTGACTTGGCCCATTCTCTTCCCCCGTTATCATGCCTAATCTAGCTGTATAGCCTTTTTTATGAAGCGTAGTCTGCATAGGCACACAATGCTTCTCTAGGTGCTCCCAAGACCTAGGCGAGCGGCCTAAGTATTGCTTAAGCCTAGGTGGGCGCCCGAATTGCTTTTTTAAACAATGTAAATGCAAAGCGCTATGCGAGGTGCAGTGTCCCTTTATGTACACCATGCACAAGGCTTAAAGCAATGTGCACAAAGCAAGGCGTGCATCACAAACAAATTTTTTCTGAAGTTGAACTTATCACCTGTTAGGCATTTGTATATATTGTATAAGATCAAATTCCATCACAAGCATAATATGCAATTATTACCATGATGGAAAGAAGTGGCGAGAAATGAACGATTAAAAAATAACCAGAAATTGGTAGAAAAAGAGAGAAGTAAAAAGAAAGCAGAAGAAATCTTACCTCTGCCTGTGTTTGATCACGAAAATCAGCTAAGAGTCGTGGGAAATCTCCCAGAGGCATCTGATTCAAATGTCCTAAGGAGAGCTCACGGCATAAGAGTCATGGGAAATCTTTCAGAGGCATCTGATTCAAATGTCCTAAGGAGAGCTCACGCCATGAGAGAGGAAGAGAGAAACAAGAACCAGCCATGTCCTCGATCGGGCTGCTAAAAAGACCTAATGAGTTTATTCTTCTTTTTGGGATATGGTATCTCAACTATAAAGGCCCGATTGAAATTTTAAAGAACAAAAACATACCAAGTGACGCCTTCCACTGGCCCTGCGGAAGTGTGAGGTGCCAAAAGGCGTTGTCTCGCATTTGCAAAGCGCCCCGTATCTGATGTGAGGCGCTTAGCCATCGCCTCGTGCTACCGGGCGATTGGGCGCAATGAGACATGTGCCTTTGTTAACACTGTTGCGGTGATCATCTTTTTAGTTACTCCTGATGGATATTCCAGTTGTTCAAATTAACCCATCAGATGAAATCCCTTCTGGATCCAGGACCAAGAGCTCTTCATTCATGATAAGTTTGTTTTGGCTTATAATATACAATTTTAGTGAGTTGATGTATTTCTTTTCCGCAGTTGAAGTCATCTATACAACTTCACATTGATGGTACTAGCGATGCTGCTGAGGATATTGGTCGCCAGGTAACTAGACCTGTTACTTCGATAGTAGAATCTGATCTTAAAATCTTTAGTTGTTACTAGTTATAGCAATTTATACACAATATCTTTTTCCCTTGCAGATCGGTAGTAGAATCTGATCTTAAATCTTTCATAGCAATTTACTACATATCTTTTTCCTTGCAGCTTCTGACATATGGGCGCCGAATCCCAATGGCTGAGCTTTTTGCGAGGATTGATGCTGTTGATGCCAGCACTGTGAAACGTGTTGCAAACCGTTTCATATTTGATCAGGTAGTGATAGATCAGAATGATTTTGCTTAAGCATGACTAAGTTTTGCATGGATATAAACCTATTTCAGTATCATAAGTATGATACTCGAATAGTTGTTTGATCGATACTTCAAAGTGCTTAAAAAACTACAATTACCATCACGAAGGAATATGTAGATTGTATACTTTCTGAAACCGTCTTTAGATGGTACTCGTTTGAGATTCAGAACTTTTTTTTTTGGGTAGGAATTTGGTAATTCAATGACTCGTGGTTATCTGCATTAAACTAATTTCTTATATTATCTTATACTGATTCTTGGTTATGTTGATAAATCTACAGGATGTTGCAATTGCTGCAATGGGACCAATTACAAAGCTCCCTGACTACAACTGGTTCAGGCGTCGCACCTATTTGAACCGCTACTAGTTTCTTTTCTTTTTATTCCCCTGTTATATTTATCTTCTTTGATACCCCGTGGAAAAAATTATGATCGAGTTCTTTGAAATTGCATCCTGCTACAGGTTGCAGAAATGCTTACTTTACTGTCAAGAGGCCTTTGATGAGCTTTTATTTTTGTTTCGATTTTATGCTGTAAAATTTCAGCTTTGTCAATAATATGTTTTGAATAATGCTGTAGATACTTATCTACTCATCAACGTTCGAGTATCTTCTCGTCGTTGCTTTTTTGCCATGACTTGTCTCTCAAATGATTCTTGATTGTTCCTTGTTTATCATTAGAATTTTTCTATGGAACACTTTGCGATTTGTTATAGCTGTAATTTTTGTTATCACTACGAATTCTTAAGAAGATTATTTGCGCTCAATATAAATTTTCGCCACAATGAAGCAAGTCTGGTGGAGAACTTATCATCCGTTTATTTTACTGCGTAGTGCAGGGTGCGTCTAGTGTAATTATCCATAAGTTTGAGAGTAATATCCTTGACTTTCACAGAATAATAATAATAAGATGTATTAACCATCTTTATCTAAGGGTGACAATTTATGACTTGACCCGTTGATCCGACCCGAACTGTTATAAATAGGTATGTGTCATTTATATGGGTTGGATCATAGGTATGTGTCATTTATATGGGTTGGATCATAATCAGGTTGACCCAAAAAAACTATTTATTAATTGGGTGATAAACGGGTCAACTCGTTGATCCGTTTAACTTTAATTCATTTATCATTTAATCCTTAACATTCAATATTTATAAAACCACACCCAGAAAATATTAATAGTTACAAACAGCACAAAATCCTCTCTAAAATACCATGGCCTTAGTTCTCGTTGGAGGAGGAATGGGAGAGGGAGAGGGAGGTGGAGTTGTGGGAGGAGGGAGATGGAGGTGCGGGAGACAAGAGGGATGAGGAGGCTAGGATTAGAGTTCAGGGAGGGAAGAGATGGAGAGAATATAAGATGATGAGAGTAAAATATGCTTTAGGTCTTATTTGAGCAAAATTTGCTAGAATATGTGACATTTTACAAATATATAAGCAAGTTTGTATAGTTTTGATAAGAAAATAAAGATGATAAGTATCAATTTGAGTAAAAGTTAAGATAGTTTTAACGTATAAAATCTAGATAAAATGTAAAACCTTAACCATCCAACCATTTAATAGACCATCTTTTAGTTGAACTGGTATTTGAGGATAATCCTCAATCTTGTCTAAAGCCCAACCTCTTTGTTTCTAACGGATAGCACCAACAGGCATGGAATCACCAATACAAAATCCATCAACACTCAAAAACTATAGATGCCATGAGTAGGAAGGGTCCAGGGGTAGGAGAGGAGAGGTTTAGGCACAGGGTGCCCTGGGGTGATACCGATAGTAAGCCGTGAACCAATCCTAGAAGCAGAGGGTCTCTTCTAAGGCTTAATGTTCATATCCAAGTGCTGATGGGAGTCAACCACCACAAATTTGGCTCTCAAGAAGTTGCTAGTAACCTGTCCATAGATAGAGTTACAATACTCCAATATTTATCTACAATTAGTAATACAAGTTGATCTACCCATCATTGGAAAGTGAGATGAATCTTCGCATCTATGAAACCGCCATTTGAGTCTAGTAGATATATAAGAAACTGCAAAAATAGCCCCTAAATACTTTCGTAGGGATGTAGCTACCTCACTGTGGTTAAAAAGATGATCAGGAGTTTCCTCATGGGGAGAGAAACAACAAACACATTTAGAGGCCAAGGCAAAACCCTTTCTTTTAACACTAGCATTTAGTAGGCAAGTTATTATGTAGAATTTTCCAATAGATTGACTTTGTTTGGAGAGTCATCTCAGAATGCTAAATTTGAGCAAGAAGATGACTATAATTACCCTGTTGTCTAATAGACTTCCAAGATGACTTGGTGTTAAAAGAACCATTTTTCTCAGAGGTCCAAAGGAGTTGGTCATCATGCTTAGAGATAGAAGATGTATCATGTAGCAGTTGAATGAGCTCATCACCAAGGATATGCTACAAGGAACCAAAATGTCGTTGCTGGTTATAATATAAATCCTTGAGTTTAAGTTGATATCCCAAAATTCAGCAAGGAAATCAAACTTAAACTCTGAGTTCTAATTGTCAAACCAAAATTGTCTTTAACTACAAGGATATCTTTCCATTCCCTAAAGCAACACAAGGGACCTTTCAAAGTGCAAGGAGAGCTTTTGATTTTATACTTAGCTCTCATAAAAGAAGCCTAATAAATGGAAATAGTGGTGCATATCAATCAACATTGCTTCAACAAGAAAGTCCTTTTTGACATCAAAGATACTTCTCACATCAACACTACTACAAAAGTCCCTTATAGCAATGGTTTCAACCGTTGCTTATAGGCCTCTTAGTAACGGTATAGACCGTTTCTAATACATTAACAACGGTTAAAACCGTTACAAATAAACCGTTACTATTAAACCTGTTGCAATTAGCTTATTGCAACGATCTAAACCTGTTGCAAATATAATAACCGTTGCTATTAGATTATTTTTTGTAAAATAATAAAAAATCTATGTTAGTAAATTCAACCGTTACTGCAGTCTATTAACAACAAAAGACAATCGTTACTATACAATTTAATATTTATTTTTTAAAAATAAAATATCCACATCAGCAAAATCCTAACCACCGCTAAGGTATATTAACAACAGAAAACCATTGCTATAGGGTATTAAAAAGATATTTTCACCAAAATACTACTGTTTATTCTCACATCCAACTGTAGCAATGATATTTATCTATTTCTAATCATTTATTTCAATACATGATATCATTCAAATGAAACAAATAATTACCATCATAAAAAAGAAATTAACTTAATCAATTAAAAAATAACGCGTGTTCGATACAAGCTTTGTCAATAAATTTAATGAAGTGATAATCAACTATAAAACTTTGAGTTTAGACCATTTACAAGGTTCACAACTTCTCCACATCCTACAACTCTTAACTAAAATGCAAATCTAACAAATGAAAACCTATTCAAAGACCTACGACAGTGAAGCAATAAACCATGAATTATTAGAATTTGAATGATAAAGATCATGGCGAGCCGATTAATTATCAAGACGAGTTCTTCCTTCATCGAGTCTCTCCTAATACTTTGTCTCCTTCCAACTGATTTTATCCAAAATATTCTCTCATTCACCATCCATCACCTTGCAACTTTCATCCTGCCACAAACAATGGAGATTTAGAAATAGAAAAACAGAACATTTAAGCCTCTACAAATTAATATTCAGTTTATTGTAGCAGCTAGCAACAGCAAATACTTTAAAACATGAAGCAATTTAAAACATGAATCTATTTTAAAACATGATTCGGTTTATTGTAGCAACCAACAGCAAATAAATATACGGGTCTCCTCAACGAGTAAAACACTAAATGATTCATGGTTTAAACTAGAAATTTAAAACATGAAATTTTTACTGTAGCAGCCACCAGCATACAGGGTCCACTCAACCCAAAAAAAAAGCAAAAAAAATAAAAATAAAAGAGAACTAAGAAGAGAGCGGCAACCAGCAACAAAAATAAAACAAAACAATAGAAGAAATTAAGGAAAGATAAAGAAGGAAGAAACAACTCGCAGTAAAAAAAAGAAGAGAAAGTCATACACAATCCTTTGCCGCAACCCTTGAGAGGAAACGAAAGGAAAAAGACGCCAATCGTGCTTGAAAGTCAATGTTGTAGGACATTTTTACTCTAAACCTTTTCTTGTTATATATTCAATTTTGCAAGTGTTTAAGGTTTTAAAAATCTAAAAGCAAGTTGTATATAAAAATTTAGAATACCTGTCCTCAATCATTGTGCTTGTCCATTTAATCCAATCATTGCTTGAAATCCAGAGACCATTTTTTGAAAATCTTGCATTTGGCGATCTTTTTCTTCCCTTTCCCGTTCCTTTTATCTTTCTGCTTCCTTAGCTCTTTTCTGTAACTCTTCAATTTTCTGGTTCGCATAATGTAATTGTTCTTGAAGTTCAGAATTGTTTACATTACCCTCGACGTTATAGGATGTAGAAAAATTATGGACCATTGTCCTTCTCTTGTATCCAGCACCATATCCTCTCTCATAACCCTCGTGGTGCTTTCCTGCTACCTCATCTAGAATAGCTGAAAGCTTCAATCGACGAGCTTTTGTTGCTGGATCAACATTTTGAAGTTTAATTTTGAGCTCCTCAACCCTTTCAATAACCTTCTCCTGCATACAAATCATACAAATTAAGAATCATAACTTCACAAAAATATCATCAAAAATTTAGATTCATAACCTAAGAGAAATATTGTTAAGGAAGATAATTCACAAATAAAACTTACACAAGCATTTTTGGTATCCTCATGTGGATTGTCTCCAAGACCCCTCTTTCTTTTATGAGATTTGACAAATACATCGAACTCATCACAATTTTCAGGATCCAACTTCTATCAAGTGAAAAAAGAAACAAGAACCGAAACAATTAAATAGTTAATACTTAGATGTGTGCATTAAAGTAATAATTAATAATAGTTATATTTAGTTATAACTAATTCGTGCTTAGTTCGAGCCATAGATTTTTGTCCCAAACAATATCAATTTTTTTCCCAACATTGATCATATTTGTAGATGTCTCATTCTAGATTTAGAAAGAAAAAGAGATAAAATAATATTTCAGAATGAAATATTTGAGTTCACAAGCACATTGAGATTCTATCCAAAACAGATTAATAGTTAACTCATAATCATATTTTTATTACAATTTTATACCCTCATTACATATTTTACATGAATAAATATACCACTAATAATTATTTTTATCTTTAATTGCAGGTTAATGAAGAAATAGTGAATAAAAGCCTAAAAGACTCCAACTTTCTCATTTTATAACCTTTTATTGAAGCTCAGAATCAAGCCGAGTAGCCTGTAGAAGCCGAAGAAAATCAAAAATCCAATTTGAAAAGAAATCATATTCAAAATGGTTGGCCACAAAGAAACGACGATATCTTCCAATCCCGAAGACGGAATTTAACATATAATATATAAAAATCGCCTATCTCGATGAGACGAAGCCAACCGTGAAGTTAAATTTTTTACTGGAGTATTGATGCTAGCATCGACGTGGGCATCGATGCCGGCATCGATGCCTGCATCGATGTCAGACGTTCTGTTATGCATCCAAGACTAAAAATGGATTGTTTTGGATAAGATTTCGATCTAAGGGCT